TGTGATTTTCTGAAATAAGATGAGTTAGCTACTGGTATTCTCATTTGAGAGAGGAAAAAAATTCAATGGACAATGATATGTCTGTGGGCCCTTGAGCAGTAAATTCAAGAACAGAACCCACCCAACCTTTCTGGTTCATTTAACAACATGCATTCCATTTGAGACTTGGACAACGTGCCATTGCCATCAAGGAACAGCAAACCTCATAAGACAGACATGAGACAGTACAGACTAGAGCAATGGCCAGACCTCAAAAGGAAGACAGTGGCAGTGTCTTTCCTGAAAGGAGTATGAAGCGTGGACTGTTTCTTTAGCTGAGAGCAGATTCATGCAATTCTGAGATCAAAGGAGCAGATAATAAGACTGGCATCCTTTCATTCAGGGGAGGCACCTTCTCCATCTAAATGGGGCCAATGGCACCTTGTAGGAACCCTCCTAGAGACTTCTCTGTGCTCTACTTAGAACAAATCAGCAGCTACAATGTATGCCTGCCTTGGTAGATTCGCGATCCGGGCAATTGTGTATGCTGTAGAGCAGGAGATCCCTGGCTTGATGCCGCATGTCAGCATCTGTTTAATGATTGTCTTTGTAGGTTGTGTTTCATTGGGACAATCAAGCTTATACTTGAACTGGACAAGCAGGCAGGCCATGCAGCAGTGGACACAAGTTAAGAACTAAGCCTGTGACTGTGGCCAGCAGTGTGGGTGTTGAGCCGTTGACCCTGTGGCCTGGTCTCAGCTGCCTGCTTGAGTGTGGTTTCGGACACTATGGAGACCTTAGACAGTTAGGCCAGGACTCAGGTACAAATTTGCATCATTAAGGGCAGAACTGCTGACACTCATGCAGAAGACTTTTTAGTTTGGAAACATTTTAGTAAATTATTACAAAATTGAAGGAAACACAAAGATTACAATAAACAGTATTGGAGTTAATAATTCCTCAGGGTTTCAATAGCTCCAGTTTTGAAAACTACTACAGTATTACACAGTCTTGGACATACAAATTTGCTGTGGATATTGCTCTGTATAAATAAAACACTGATTGGCCAGTGGCCAGGCAGGAAGTATAGGCGGGACAAGGAGAGAGGAGAATTCTGGGAAGCAGAAGGCTGAGTCAGAGAGACACTGCCAGCCGCCACAATGACAAACAGCATGTAAAGATGCCGGTAAGCCACGAGCCATGTGGCAAGGTATAGATTAATGGAAATGGATTAATTTAAGCTGTAAGAACAGTTAGCAAGAAGCCTGCCACGGCCATACAGTTTGTAACCAATATAAGTCTCTGTGTTTACTTGGTTAGGTCTGACAGCTGTGGGACTGGCGAGTGACAGAAATTTGTCCTGACTGTGGGCCAGGCAGGAAAACTCCAGCTACAGAAATTAAATGTAAATATTGTTGCATTTGACAGAAATGAATATTTTCATATGAGGTTTTCATTAAACTAAGAACTAACAAGGAAGAACAATTGTCATTGTTTTCTTTCTTTGTAAATGAATGTACTGGATAGTTTTATGTCAACTTGGTATAAGCTAAAGTCATCTGAGAGGAGGGAACCTCAACTAAGAAAATACCTTCATAAGATCAGGCTGTAGACAAGCTTGTAGGGCATTTTCTTAATTAGTGATCGATGAGAGAGGGCCCAGCCCATTGTGGGTGGTGCCATCCCTGGGCTGGTGGTCCTGGGTTCTATAAGAAAGCAGGTTGAGCAAGTCATCTGTGAGGAGCAAGCCAGTAAGCAGCACTCCTCCATGGCCTTTGCACCAGCTCCTGCCTCCAGGTTCCTGCCCTGTTTTGAGTTCCTATCCTGACTTCTTTCAGCGAGTAGTGCTATAAAGTATAAGCCAAACAAACCCTTTCTCCCAAAATTGCTTTGGTCACAGTGTTTCATCACAGCAATAGTCACTTTAACTAAGGCAATGAACTTATAGGAACAGGTTACATACTATACTGGGTGGTTTTGTGTGTCAACTTGACAGAAGCTAGAGTCATCAGAGAAAGGAGCCTCAGCTGAGGAAATGCTGCCATGAGATCCTGCTGTAAGGCATTTTCTCAATTAGTGATCAATGGGGGGGGGGGGGGCGCTCAGCCCATAGTGGGTGGGGCCATCCCTCAGCTGGTGGTTCTCGGTTCTATAAGAAGATGGGCTGAGTAAGCCATGGGAAGCAAACTAGTAAGCAGCTCCCCTCCATGGCCTGTGTGTGCATCAGCTCCTGCCTCCAGGATCCTGCCCTGTTTGAGTTCCTGTCCTGACTTCCTTCAGTAATGAACAGCAATGTGGAAGTGTAAGCCTAATAAACCCTTTCCTTCTCAACTTTCATTTTAGTCCTGGTGTTTCATCACAGCAATAGACAGGCTCACTAAGACAATAAGGAAGTATTTTGGTGTCAATACTAAGCCTAAAGCCTTGCTTAGAATCTGGTAGTCTCCACAGCTGCACAAATGTGCCAGGAAACACTAAGATGAATATTAAATGATTTTGCACTTGAAATTCAGTTCATGCATGAATATAATTAAAGTTGGGAAGATTGCTCAGTGGTTAAGAGGACTGACTGCTCTTCCAGGGGACCCTGGTTTAGTTCCTAGCAGCCATATGGTGGCTCACAGCTGTCTGTAACTCTAGTTCTAGGGACTCTGATGCCCTCCTCTGGCCTCTGAGAGTACTTACTGCATGCATATGATGTACAGACATAGAGACCAACATACATGCAAAACACCATGCATATAAAACTTTCAAAATTGTTGTAAAGAATGCAATAACCATTATGCTTGAAAAACAGTGTTCTACAAAAGAGGCTCATTGACTCTAGATATTATATTTTAAAATGACTCTTCAGAAATTTATCTTGATGTTATCAACCTTCTTCTCCATTAAACATGGCCAAAAATTACTTGTGATTTTATATTTCCCAAGAGCAGCTGACATCATTTTCAATTATGTCAATTAAAAATGAAATTGCAAAAGTATAAATTTTGATAACCTAATAAATTATTTTGCAGAAAAAAATGAGTCAGAGAAATCTTATGACCAGGCAAGATGTCACTGCACTATTGTTTATTTCATTATATAACATTATTATAAAACATTTTCTTGTAATTTATGTAGTCTGTATTTATTTTGTTTTCATGTATCAGCATTAAATTTATTGTATTTCATAAACAATAAAACATCTTAAGGGGTAAATTTTATATTTTGGGTAATTTTCATCATAAATTTTTCTTGCTTTTTTCCCTCCTTTTTCCACTGGATTAGGCAGCTTCTCAGGAAGCCTGCTGGCATGGTCTGGGGCGAAGGCTTTTCCAAGCTGGGTGAGGGAGGAGCTGTGGTGTTGCTCTCCTGGAACTTCTGCTTGGACGGGTTAATGTTCTAACACGTTGACTAGGTTATTGTTACTTCATTGGTTTGGCATTAGCATTTCATGCCTGAAATCCAAGCAAATTATTTGCAGTTGTAAAATGAGAGGAGTAGCTGAAATTGTTTGCTCTATTGGCAAATATTCTTGGTACACATTCTATTATATGTATTACTTGCTGGGTGTTGAAGATACCTACACAAATGCAGTTTCCTTTTTAAGGAGTATAATTGAGGAGACTGTAGTTGGTTCTTGTTTTACTCTTTGGAGGTCTGCCACTCAGCTCCCAAATAAATACACAGAGACTTATTCTTACTCATGAATGCCCGGCCTTACGTTGGCTTGTTTCTAACTAGCTTTTCTAACTTAACTTAATCCCATTTCTCTTTAACTATGTTTTGCCTCTGGGCTTTTGCCTTTATTTTTTCTATATCTTTCTTTCCTTCTTGTACTGTGTCTGGCTGTGTGGCTAGTCTCTGGTTCCTCCTCTCCTCCTTTTCTTGCTCCTTGCTCCCTGCCCTAGATTTATCCTCTTTTTTATTCTTTCTGCCTGGCAGTTCCACCTGTCCCTCTCCTGCCTAGCTATTGGCCATTTATCTCTTTATTAGACCAATCAGGTGTTTTAGGAAGGCACAGTTTTACACAGACAAAGTAATACAGCTTCACAGAGTTAAACAAATGCAACACAAAAGAATGCAACACATCATTGCATCATTAAACAAATGTTCCACAGCATAAATGAATGTAACACACCTTAAACCAATATTCTACAACAGGAAACAGTATGAAAAATAATAAATTATAATACAGTATTTTTAAGTGTGGCTACAAAAGCATGGACAAGCTACGTGCTATAGAAGTATCAGAAAGCAAAGTGTGATTAACCTAGTAGGTAGCTAGAGAGGTCCTGCCACTGTCATATGTGGTCATATTTGACTCATGTTCTTATTGTAACCCTTTTGCTACTAGGAATTAAATGGGGGAAAGGGTCTGCTGCTTAAGATTAGACATGTTCTAACCCTGCTGCATATTATTTATTGAATGGATAAGAATGGGGTTTGAATGGATAAGTATAGCATGTTCCAACAGACTGCTGCCTGTTCTCTGCTTGGCTTCCTAAGAGCCTGTTTCTGTCTCCCCTCACCCTTCCCATGCCTGGATCTCAAGATGGCTGCTGGTTTATATTTCCAGAGTCACTGCTAATAATTTTAGGATATATGTGTACACACAGTTTGCATGTATGTACGTTTACATGTTAGGGGGCACTGTGCATGTGGAGGCCCCAGGTTGATGTCCAGAATCTTCTTTGATTGATTTTTCACCTTATCCTTTGGGGCAGGGTCTCTTAATCAAATCCAGAGTTCACTGATGGGTTAATCTCTCATAGCCAGCTTGCTTGTCATCTTGTTATACATTTTTTCTCAATGCACCAATAGCTTGAATGTATTGTAGATAACATCTGGGGCTGAGGGTATATGGAGGTAATAGAGAACTTGCATAGCATGCCCAAGGCCTGGGTTTTGTTCCAGAGAGAGAGAGCAGACAGAGACTGACTTATTTTAGTTAAGCTTTGCTTACTTTGTACAATTTTCTATTACTTTGTAAGTGAAGACATGCTTAAATAGTTGAATAAGAACTGGTTTTATTTTAGAATTGTGAAAAATGGAAGACGATAGCACAGACCCAGAAAAAGAAAATGAAGATGACAAGGAGGAAGCAGCAGAAACAGAAGAGGAGGAATATAAAAAGGACCAGAAGGAGCACCCTTCTGTCATAATGCCCACAATTAATATTCGAGAGGAGCGGCTTGTCAATTTAGCTGAAACACCAGCTTTCCGCTGTCTGAATGAGGTATGTTTCTTTGTATGTTATTACTAGAGTAAAACCTAATCTTCACCCACTTAAAATTCAAAGTCTATGTCATTTTCAAAACTCTGGGTTACATAGCTCGTATAGGCTGTAATCATATTCACAGGCTGAAAGTCTTAAAAACAAAATGGATCCTGCTTTTCCCTCTAGGCTAACACAGTATGTAGGTTCCTTTAAAGTATAATATTTACATACATATTGTCCATTAAGTGCATTTCAGAAGTTGGTGCATGACATCTAAATTTTTCTTTAATTATTGTATATTATATACCTGTTAACTTTCATAAAACAAAGATAAGAAATCTAGTCACAACACTCATCCCCAGAGACCCAGGGTCCAACTGGTTCTTCCTGGCATCCCCTTCTAGCCTTCCCTTTTAGATCATCTCCAATCCTTTGTGACTTTGCTGACCCACAGAACCTTGCTCTATTAGGGATCCCCAAGGACCCCACAGCTGCCATATTTGACTAGGACCCAGAATGGGCAAAACAACCAAAGAATGGAACACTCACCCAGCAAAGATAAAACCAGATCCCTATACCAAGAAATACTTCAGATGCCATGATTCCAGATGACTAGATCCCAGTGTAAAAAATCCAAATATGAACAACCATGAGAGTATGCTTCCCTCAGAAGACTGCAATTCTATTGTAAGAAGTCCTAAGAAAAGCAATTTAGCTGAAGCATAAAATGAGGACTTCAAAATAGCAATTATGAATATGCTCAAAGACCATAAAGAGGATGTGAGTACATGCCTTAATAAAGTCTGGGAAAACACAAACAGTTGAATGAAATAGTGAAAACAATTCAAGGCATATGAAAGTAGAATTTAACACAGAAAAAGAATCACTAAAGAAACCTAAACTGAAATAAAACTGGAAATGAAAAACTCAAACAAAAACCTTAGAGGTAGGTCCCACCCACAGATTAGAAAACATGGAAGAAAGAATTTCAAGTCTTAAAGACAAGATAGAAGAATTGCTAGTCTAGACAAAGGAAACATTAAATAAATAAAAATCCAGGAAATGGAACACTATGAAAAAGCCAAACTTATGAATAATAACTATAAAAGAAGGAGAAGAATCCCAGGTCAAAGTCATGGAAAATATTTTGAACAAAATCATAGAAGAAAATGTCTCCAATCTAAAGAGAGATGCCTATCAAGAGATATACAGAACACCAAAGAGACAGGCCCAGAAAAGAAACTACCCATGTCACATAATAAAACATTAAATGTACAAAGCAAAGAAAGGATTTTAAAACATGAAAAAAAAAAGACCAAGTCACATATAAAGGTAAGCTGGAAAGGCCTGGACAGATGTTCTATAAACTCTAGGGATCGCAGATGCCAGGTCAGCCTATACACCCAGCAAGATTACCAATCAAAATCAACAGAGAAAGAAAAAGCTTCATAACAAAAACAAATTTAAATAATTCTGTCCACCAGTTCATCTCTACAGAAAAGACATTTATTACACACAACAGGTCACCAGAAATAATCCCAGAACAGCCAAAAGTGGGGAGAAAAACCCAAACCACAATATAACATAAATTAATAAATACTGTTTATTTTTTAACTCAATGGTATCAATTCCCCAATAAAAAGACATTGAATTAGAAAACAGGATCCACCTTTCTGCTGCATCCAAGAAACAATACCTCATCACCAAGGACAGACATCACCTTAGAGTAAAAGAATGGAAAAAGGTATTCCAAGCAAATGGAACCAAGAATCAGGCAAATGGACCTATTTTAATATTAAAACAATAAATAAACATCAACCCCAGACCATTCAGAAGAGACAGGAAAGAACACCACCTATTTATTAAAGGAAAAACCCACCAAGAGGACTCACAATTCTAAACATCTATGTAACAAGCACGAAGGCACCAAGGTCATAAAAGAAACACTACTACAGCTGAAATCCCACGCTGACCCTCACACAGCGATAGCGGGCAACTTCAGTTCCCCATGCCCACCAATACACAGGTCATCCAGATTAAAAGTGAATAGAGAAACACTGGAGTTAAATAACATCAGAAATCAAATGATTCTAACAGACATCTATAGAATGTTTCACCCAAACACTCCAAATATATCTTCTTCTCAGCAGCCTATAGAACTTTCTCCAAAATTTACCCCATATTCAGATACAAACTAAGTCTCAACAGATCTAAAAAATTGGAAAGAGTACCCTATATTCTATCTGAACATCATGGATTACGGCTAGATATCAATAACAATAGAAATGGCAAAAAGTCTATAAACTTATGGAAGCTGAATAACTCACTAATGAGTTGGGTCAAGACAAAAATCAAGAAAGAAACAAAAAATTTTAGAGTTGAATGAAAATGAAAACACAACATACCCAAACCTATAGGACATGATGAATGCAGAAAGCAGTTCCAAGAGGCAATGTCATAGCACTAAGTGACTACATTAAAAAAAACCTGAAGAAATTTCATATTACTAACTTAATAATTGAAGCTCTAGAAAAACGGAACAACAACAAAACTACCCTGCAAGAGTAGATGGAAAGAAATAATCAACTCAGGGCTGAAATGGCAAAAAAATTCCAAAGACTCAATGAAACAAAGAGTTGGTTCTTTGAGAAAATCAGTAATATTGACAAACCTTTAAACAACTTAACCAAAATATAGAGAGAGCGGTGAAAAGGAGGACATTTATAACAGATAGCGAAGAAATTTAGAGAATCACAAGGACACACATTTTTAATAATTTCTATTCCACCAAACTGGAAATCTAAAAGAAATGGATGGATTTCATAACATATGCAACCTACCAAAGTTAAATCAAGATGAAATAAACAATTTAAATGGACATATAACCCCTAGTGAAATAGAAGCTGTAATTAAAAATCTCCCAACCAGTAAAAGCCCAGGACCAGGTGGATTCAGTGTCGAATTCTAATAGACTTCCAAAGAAGAACTAACAACATAGAAACTGAAGGAACATTTCCTAATTCTTTTTCTGAAGTGACCTTTACCCTGATACCAAACCCACACAAAGACTCAACAAAAAGGGAAAATTATAGACCAATATCCCTTTATGACCATAGATATAAAAATTCCCAATAAAATATTTCAAACTGAATCCAAGAACACATCAAAAAGATTATCCACTATGGTGATATTGTGTTCCCCAATATATTGTGCACTCTAATAAACTTATCTGGGGTCAGAGAACAGAAGAGCCACTAGATATAGAGGCCAGAAAATGGTGGCACACACGCTTTTAATCCTAGTATTCTGAAGACAAAGATCCCTCTGGATCTCTGTGAGTTCAAAGGCACACTGGAAACAGCCAGGCATGGTGACACATGCCTATAATCCCAGGAAGGGATGGCAGAAAGGTATATAAGGTGTGAGGACCGGGAACTAGAGCCTGGTTAAGCTTTTAGGCTTTGAGCAACAGTTCAGCTGAGATCCATTTGGATGAAGACTTAGAGGCTTCCAGTCTGAGGAAACAGGATCAGCTGAGAAGTTGGTGAGGTGAGGAAGCTGTGGCTTGTTTTGTTTCTCTGATCTTCCAGCATTCACCCCAATACCTGGCACTGGGCTTGTTTTTTATCAATAAGACCTTTTAAGATTTGTGTTGCAATCCACCATGATCAAGTTGGTTTCATTCCAGGGATGCTGGTATGGTTCAACAAATGTAAAACAATAAACATAATCCACCACATTAGTAGATTAAAAGACAAAAACCACACAATCATCGTATTAGATACAGAAAATGTCTGAGACAAAAATCCATCATCTTTGTGATAAAAGTCCTAGAGAGACTGGATATACAAGGGATATACCTCAAAATAATAAAGATAATTTACAGCAAGCCCATGGCCAACGTCATTCTAAAGGAGAGAAACTCAAAGCATTTCCACCAAAATAAGTGGTGGACAAGGATGCCTACTCTCTCTGTACCTATTCAATACAGTACCTGAAGTCTTATCTAGAGCTATGAGACAACTGAAGGAGATCAATGTGGATGAATGTTTCTCTTCCACCTGCCTGTTCCCAAATACCTGGCAGCTGCTTCCCAAATTGCCACACAGAGGCTTATATTATTTATAAATGCTTGGCCAATAGCTCAAGCTTATTACTAACTAGCTCTTACAACTTAAATTAACTCATTTCTATTAATCTATGTATTGAAATGTGGCTCGTGGCTTTACCTGTCCTCCAGCATGTCTTGCTTCCTAGGCAGCTGGCTGGTATCTCTCCTGACTCTGCCCTCCTTCTTCCCATGATTCTCTGCTGGGCTTTCCTGCCTAACTTCCTGCCCACCTACTGGCTTGTCAGCTTTTTATTAACCAATGAGAGTAATGCATATTCATAGTGTAGAAAAGGATTACTCCACAGTAGAGCAAGAGGATGCAAGTAGGAAAAGAAAGTATATTTGCTGATGATATGATTTTATACATAAAAGACCCAAAAACCTCCACTGGGAAACTTCTAGAACTGATTAAACACCTTCAGCAAAATAACAGGATACAAAATTAACACACAAAATCAATAGCTTCTGTATTAGGGCTCTCTAGAGGAACAGAGCTAATAGGATGAATATATGTATAAATATATGGAATTTATAAGAGTGGCTTATGGGGTGTGGCCAAGCTAGTCCAAGCTAGTGTCTGTATACTGATGGAAAGTCCAAAAATCCAGTAGTTGTTTAGTCCATGAGGCTGGATGTCTCATCTGTCTATAGCGTATGTTGGGATTTCAAAGAAGTAGGTTCTAATGCCAGTGAAGGAATACCAGCAGTAGGATGGATGAACTTGCTAGTGGGAATGAAGGCAAGCAGGCAAAAAACAAAAGCTTTCTACTTTAATAGCCTTTTGTGTAGGCTCCCACAAGAAGGTATGGTCTTCTGATATTAAATGATCCAGATTTAAAGTGTGTATTCTCCCCTCAAAAGTTCCAGTCAAGAAAATCTGACTTGGAGTAGCTTCTGTGATTTCTCT